TAAACTTTGAAAAGTTCCTCTACTTTAGGAAACATCAGCTTTGGTTATTCTCCTTTTCTTTGTAATATATGTACACACACACACACACACACACACACACTCCCCTTCATTTTATTGGGCACTTTAATTTTTCAAGGTTTGTTGCAGTTTATGGAAATCTGATACTTTGAATTTTCTTTTCAGTAAAACCTGGTTTAAACGTGCTGACTAAATGCATGCCAGTTCTACACAGAGTTCCTGAAAATGATAGTTTTTTTCCCCATTTTATTCCTATGAAAAGCCAAAGTATTTAACCTTTGCCTATAATCTAGAAAAAAATGAATAAACTGATTGCGTTGTCCCATCACAAGTTCAATGGAGTATATTAATTTGATAAATGATAGAATTACAGGTAGAAAAATGATTAGCTGAGATTTAAGCAAGAGTCACTAAGCTTTGTGAAATACTAATTAAAAGTAAACAGTACTCCAAATAAGATTCAAATGGAACATGGTTAGAATCTCTAAGTAACAGAAATAAACCAGAGAGCCAGGCATTGTGGCACATGCTTGCAACTCAGTAATACCGGACTGAGACCAAGATTGTGGGTTTTAAGACTCTAAACATGTCCAAGGCCAGCCTGGATGATGAAACAAAACCCTGCCTCAGAAACAAACAAACACCAAAAATCCATTTGCAAAAACTTTAATACTGACAGCCAGGCGGTGGTAGCACACGCCTTTAATCCCAGCACTTGGGAGGCAGAGGCAGGCGGATCTCTGTGAGTTCGAGACCAGCCTGGTCTACAAGAGCTAGTTCCAGGACAGCCTCCAAAGCCACAGAGAAACCCTGTCTTGAAAAACAAAACAAAACAACAACAACAACAACAAAAAAACAAAAAACTTTAGTACTGAAAAAAACTGAAGAAAATGTTCTAGACCTTTGCCCTTAGAGGTTTTTAACAGCACTTGTCACACAATTAACTCCCTATAAACAGGTCCCAGGTAAGGCTACAAATGTTTTCATCCTTACTGGTAATTAAGTTGTAGCAGGGAGATGGCAAAGGGCACTTCCAGGAGGATGGGCTGCTTCTTTCACAAGACCATCCTGGCACCTTTAACAACTGCTCAGCTCACAGTGCTCACTGACTTCTCACTGAAACAGACTGAGTAATGCCAGCTGCTACTTTGGAGGCAAGTCAGTAAGCAGTGCTTATTAGAAACTGAAGACAAGCCAGGCGTTGGTGGCGCACGCCTTTAATACCAGCACTCGGGAGGCAGAGGCAGGCAGATCTCTGTGAGTTCAAGGCCGGCCTAGTCTCCAGAGCGAGTGCCAGGATAGGCTCCAAAGCTACACAGAGAAAACCTGTCTTGAAAAACCAAAACCAAAACAAAAACAAAAAACAACAACAACAAAAAAACCAACCCCCCCCTAAACTGAAGACACGAGACAAATTATAATCACATATAGTTTTTATACCAATAATTCTATTTTTCATTAGACATATTTTCAGTTCAACATAAGGAAGCAGTGACTGTAAAAAGATCTAGATTAGTGTTTCTCAAGCTGTGGTTCACAACCCCTTGGGGTCCAGCGACCCTTTCACAAGGGTCACCTAAGACCACTGGAAAACATAGATATTTAAATACCTTACTATTCATAAAAGTAGCAAAATTACAGTTATGAAGTAGCAATGAAAATGATTTTAAAAACGATGGGGGGTCACCACAACATGAGGAAGTGTGTTAAAGCGTGGCAGCATTAGGAAGGTTGAGAACCACGTATTTTCATATGGGGGTTCTGTTGGCTCAGCAGATGGGAAGGCTATGAAAGAAAAAAAGGATGTGGGTACAGTGTCACTTCCCAACATCTACATTGTTCTGTGGACTCAAACTTCCTAGGCTGTGACTTTAGGGCAGGATTTCATAGTATTTTTCTGGCACTTCGTATTTCTCTTGTCCCTCAAACATGTAGCCGTCTCCCACATTTTAAACCAGGCAGCACAGAAGCCTCACATATTTGGTATCTTTCATCACCCGCACTGCACTGCTCTTTAGAGGAATCTGCTGCCTCTTCCTGCATCCTGAGAAATTCACTGTGGTACCAACCTGCTAGCTGCCTCCTTAGACCCCCCACATCATGCAGGTTACCAGACTTGGTCCTTATAACACACCCCTGTTATTATCGATGTTTAAAAGATGACATCCCCATAACTGGAAGCAATTAACTCTAAGGCACTAGCTTAGGTTAGACTAGAGTCCGGGACGCTTCAAACTCCACCTCCTATCCCTAGGTGGCCAGCCTGGGTGGGTGGGAGTTGTGGAGACAGGTCTTCCCTTAGCTCTTCAACTCTCTTCTACAGTCTCAAGCCACAACAGTATTACCTTTGCAACTGGCCTGAGTTTCTGCTCTAGGTCCCAGAACCCTATTTACTACCGAGCCAAGTCTCTTCTATCAAGCAGCTGATGGCCTATTACAGAATCAATCTGCTTTCCAGAAGAAAGACAGAACAAAACCACCAAAAATGTACAGACATTTCTTCAACTAACCCTATGCCTTACAAGCTTTCTTGTCTAAATTAGGGCCCAGAGAAGGAACAGTCTGGCACCCTTAGACAATTCTCTACACTAGGGCTTAGCCTTGAATGACACTAGTGCCTCTGTACGGGGGTGGAGGGGTGGGGGGGTCATTCAATACCCCTAATGCCCGAGGCAGCTTACATTAGCACTGGATGCTCTACCAACACTGGCTAGCTGAATGGATGTTGGTTCAGCGCTCTCTATATATCCTGCTTCTATGTACATAGAACAGTCCAGCATCTTTGCCCACCACCTCAGCACTTGGGAGATTGAGGCAGAAGGATTCCTGTGAGTTCAAGGCCAGCCTGGGCCACAGAATAAGATGCTATCTTTAAAGGTTAAAAACACCTATCACCTCTCCTCACCACTGAGATCCAGTGTCCTTGAGGAACAGCTGGACCTGAACTATGAGTGACACCAGTGACAACATCTCCACCTGCCAGACCTACACACAAGGTGGGAGGGCAGGGTCAGCAAATAATAGGCCGGGAGACAGATCAGCTCCAGTTCCATGCTTTGCTTTGACAAATTGCAAGTGCTTAGCAGTTTTTATTCTGACTCAAGTCTCAAATATTTCTAGAGCTTGTTTTCCAGATTCAGGGTTCCTTAGGTGATCATGCTTAGAAAAGAAGAAAAGTTAACATTTTGGCTTTGATTACATATATAAATATTTATACACACATATAAAAATATATACGTATAGCCGGGCATTGACGGCGCACGCCTTTAATCCCAGCACTTGGGAGGCAGAGCCAGGCGGATCTCTGTGAGTTCGAGACCAGCCTGGTCTACAAGAGCTAGTTCCAGGACAGTCTCCAAAAAGAGCCACAGAGAAAACCTGTCTCGAAAAACCAAAAAAATGTATGTATGAATGTATGTATATATTTAAATTTACACACATACCCATACATACACATATATGTGTGTATATTATATGTATAGATGTTTTACCTGTATGTATATCTGTGCACTATGTGTGTCTGGTGCATGTGGATGCTAGATTTGCAGATCCCCTGTAACTGGGGTTACAGAAAGTTGGGAGTCACCATGTGGGTACTCCCAGGAACCCAACAAGGGTACCCTGGGAGAGCAGTCAGTGCTCTTAACCACTGAGCTACCTCTCCAGCCTCTCCCATTTACACTTTGTCACTTTAAGATTTATTAATCTATCCTCATTCCTCCAAACACAATATTCTTAAACTGCTTACATTTTACCTGGTAATTTTGTCCTATATTCTCTCCAATAGAAACAGAGGCTATCTCCAGCGGGTAGTTTAGTGATTGATGAAAACAACCAAGAATTTAGTGAGGTTATAAAAGTTTTTTTAAAGTTGGCCAGATGCTCTACTTTGCTCAGGAAAAGGCATTTAATACCAGGTTTAGGCGCATCTTAGGCACAGAAGGGGCTGCAAGAAGATGAAGCATGGGATGTGGAACCAACCCAGAACGCAGGAGACAGCTGAACATATACTAACCAATAATGTTTGGACTCTTCCAGTGGAAGATTGATTATAACAAGGTTTTGCTACACGATAAAGAATGTTTATGTCCACTTTGGAACACCACATCTGATTGTTTCGAAATGGTTATATCTTTTCTAATACCTGAGATGGTCTTACTGGAGGGTTGGGGGGAGGAGGAGGACCAGGCAAATAGGTGAAAGTGGAAACTCATTGGGGCTGAAGTGGGAGCCCACTAGTATAGTTTTCTGCACAGAAACAATAACGACACAGAATGGGGATTTTTACTAGCTCGTTCATGGTTTTCTTGCTCGATGAAAAATTAGTTTCCTACTTTTTAAGCAGATACTTAGTAACGATATGCAGTTGACACTGGCTTTTGTTTTTTCCTTTTCCATTTCATAAGAGAGAAGCGTGATTTAAATACAGAAAAGCACGATAGTGTTTACTCCCATCACAAGACCTGCATTTCCAGGACCTCCAGACGCTAACCCAGACATGAGGGCCATAGGAATAGCGGGCTGTTCTGGGTGGGTGGCGGCAGGTCTTGTGTCACCCCACCCCCATCCACAAACACACACCCTTTCCCACGCGCCGGCTCCGCCCCAGTGCTATCCCAGGGACAAGAGAGGACACCAAGGCTCTGGGGAACTCTGCTCCATCAGTGAGGTCGCAGGGACAACGAAGACCCTTGAAAGGCTGCGACAGTCGCCTGACCCAGGCAGCAGCAGGAGGAACCCACCACATGAGACGGGGTCGCCAAGGACCTTCATACCACTCGGGCCCCCGCAAACTCCACGTCCGTCCCCACAGACCCCGGGTACTCTCAGGGCCCATCATACCCCGCCCTACACACTTGAGGTCCCTGAAGTCCCACGATCCCCCATCAGTCTACCACATCCGCTGGTCACAACATGAGGACACCCTCCACCCCTGGGGATCTCAGACCCAGTTTCGCTCACGTTCCGCGCTTCCTGCCTACCGTGCTTCCGATGAGCAGACATACCCGACCCCAGCCGGGATCCGGGGCCCCAACGCCACCAGATGCACGGCTCTTCCGGATTCCTCTCTCTTAGGCCCGCCCACAACATTAGGAGTGCCTAATCCGGACCCGAATTCCCCGCCGCCGGGGCTGCCAATCATCTCTATCCGGCGGTTTATTGGTTCGTATGGGGCCCGGGGGAGGTTTAAGCTCGGCCTCTAAGAGCCTGGCTGTGGAGCCTGCGCGGAAGGCAAGTGGCCCGGTAGCGCTGTTTCTGCGTTTGCCCCGCTGATGGTCTTGGCCCAAGACACAGCTAGGGTCTGTACCGGCTCTGCGCACTTGAGGAACTTGGGGTGCAAGCTGGAGAAAGGTTGGTAAGGAGAGAAGGAAGATCTGGAAGCTTGAGACAAGACAAGGTCCCTCTCGGCCTAGACATCCGTTCTCTGCGCCCCCTCTTTACATCTGCGGGTGGTCCGCTCGCACACCAGCGGGGGCCCAACGACAGTGCCTCCCCTTTGCTTCTCGTCTGCCGGTCCCTCTTTTTGTGGTGTCTTTCACTCGAGCCACGTTGCTTTCAGCCCGGCGGTGCTACCCACGGCGCTGGGACCCTTGAGCTCTGTTGACATTGACTCTTCGTCCTTGAATTGCTTCTTCAGAAACATGACTGCCGAGTGTCTGCACGAAACAACGTTCATGAAAGATCGGACAAGAGAGGTGCATGACAAAGAAGACTGAGAGACCGTATCCCAAAGAGAGGAGCTCCTTGAAGAGAAGTAACGCAGGGAGCAGGGTTCTAAGTAGAGAGCTTAAAACCAAGGACACAAAGTAGATGTCTTTGATTAGTGGAGGTTAGCAAGCACAGACTTGCGGAGACGAAAGAGGAAAGTCTGATGTTATGAAGACAATATTCAAAAAAGAAAGAAGACAAACTATGGTTCAAGTAAAGTGCATGCCTGCCAGCCAGCCGGTGTCTGGAGAGCTAAGGCAGTTTGGGATCAGGGAGGAGAGAAGGCGTGGCCTCGGGCGTTGCGGGACTCTTTGCAATCAGTGAGCATGGAAGGGTAGAGATGTTACTGATGGCCTCAAGCCAGGATAGTTCCTGAAAGGCCTCGGTTGGGGTCCAGTTTGTATTTGAGTTTTATAACCTTGCCCACAAGGTGGGGTGGACAATCAATAGAAATTTTACAGAAGCCTAAGTGGCAGTCTGCAGGTTGTTGAGGGCAGCATGACCCAGTGTTTCCACTTTTTCCCCTGGTCATGGTCATTCTGTTCCAGGTAGCAAGTGAAGACACACTTGGCAAATATGCAGTACAAGCGGTGCTTTGAGTAAATCACGGAATAAATCAATAAGTCAGTACTTAATAATTGGGCTTTGGTGCCTTATTCTGCTTCACCAGTGACAATCATGGAAGAAGCAACATTGAACTTCCACAGAGATGCAGAAAACCGATCGGTTTGGGGCCTAGAAGTGAAATGATCTGATGTAAATGTTAAGCAGGTGACTTCATCTTCTCTATTGAGAGTAAATTGCATTGGGGTGAAGCAAGAGACGACTGTGCGCCAGCTGCAGTAAGAACAATATTGGTAGTTAGCAACATTGAGTTGTAACATTGAAGATCATAGGAAGAAATGGTCAGCGTGTGGATGCATTTGAAGGCAAAGCAAAAGAGATGTACTGACTCATCAGATTGGTCTGTGATAGAAAAGGGGAAGTCTAGAATGGGTGCAAGGTTTTTTGACTCAGAATCTGAAAAGTTGGGGTTTCAGGCTGATATGGGGGTCTTCTGGGAAGCCCTTCATTATGTAGCATTGAGCAGCTTTTGATACATAGACTTAGGAGACTGTGGAGGGAATGAATGTTGTGGCCAGAGTAGTGGCTAAGGAAGAGCTGAGCCACACAGCTTCTATCCTTTGTAAAACTGAGAGATGAGGAGGCACCAGCTCTGGCCCAAGAGGAGTGACCAGAGAGGACAAGGAATGACAACCATCCCACAGCGAAGTCAAAGGAGAATTTATTTGTTTGAATGCACGGTTGGATTTGTCAAGGGCTGGTCTTTAGGGTCTTTGGTCATCATCAATTTCATTGGAATACAAGATACAAATGTGTGATGGTTCAAGAAAACAGAAGGTCCTATGTAGGTGTCTTGTCTGTGAACCTGTAATGGTGGCCACACCCCTTTGGGTGTGGCTTCAGGTGGACAGAAGCAAGGAGGGAAGCTTGAGACATGGCTTCTGTTTGCAGGCTCTTTCTGGTGGGTCAGCCCATCTGGTAGGAAGGGTAGAGAAACGCTCCTGTGGTTCTTTGTATTTTTCCATGTAAACGTTCCCCAATAAACACCCATTTATCATATATCTTGGATCTAGTGAAGTCATTACATCCTTGCCTTCAGTCCTGGATGTAGACCTATGCCAGCTTCTGCTACAGTCCCCAAGACCTCCAGCAGACAGGGACACTCCTGTATCTCTCTAAGTGGGCCACAGCACCATCCATTCAGCTGCCAGGCTACTCTTGGGAAACAGTTGCTTCCTTCTCTCTTCTTTTCCCCACAGACCTGTCCAGAAAGATCACATCTAATTTGTGTCCTCGTCTCTCATGGAGATTCCATTTGAAAGTTGACCTCTCCCCCACTCCTACTGCTGTTTTCCAACTCTTATCCCACTACCATGTCACCTCTTCTGTTCATAGCAACCAAAAAGATCTTTTAAAAAATCTGAAATAATCACTCTGGGCTAGGAGGACAGCTCAGTTGTTAAGAACTCTTGCTGTTTTTTTTTTTATTGTTTTGTTTTGTTTTTTGTTTTTTTTTTTTTTTTTTTTTTTGTTTTTTTTTTTTTTTTTTTTTTTGCACAGAACCTGGTTCAGTTTCCTGCACTCACATGGTGGTTCACAACCATCTGGAACTGTAGTTCCAGGAGATCTGATACCTCTGCCATCTGAGAGCACCAGGCATGCACACTGGTGCAATACATACATTCAGGAAAGATACTCATGCACATAAAAGACATTTTAAAAACTCACTCACTGTAACCCATCAAAGGACCAGAATAAAAAGAACAAAAACAAAAATGGAGAAAGCATTTGACCAAATCTAACACTTGTTCATGATTTATAAAAACAGCAACAAACAAAAACCTCTCAGTCAATACTTAATAAAAGGTAATTTATTCAATTTGATAAAGAACACTTACAAAAAAATTTTCAAATATCATCAAGGGAAAAAACAATTAGAATCTTTCCTACAAAGATCAGGAACAAGACAAAGATTCCCTCTAACCACTGATTTTCAAAATTGTACTAGAAATCCTAGCTAATGTAATGAGACAAGAAAAGGAAATAAAAAGACCATATATTGGGAAGAAAGAAATAAAATTGTCTTTGTCTGCAAGTGACATGAAGAAAATCCTAATGTCCTGGTTAAAATCCCACGTAAGACTACACTGTATGTAAGACATAATTCCAGTTCCTTTAAATGTGTTACAAAACCTCCCAACTCATTGTCCGTCCACATTCATGATGGTCTCTCAGTTCCTACTCTAACTAGTCATTTAGAAGAAAAGGCAAGTCTCTCATTGTCTCTGAGTCTTCAGTCCTGTTTTTCCTACTGACAGAACTTTCCCCAACCTCACTCCCACATTCCCACCCCCAAGTCCTGTTCCTCCTGGGATGTTTGGTAGAAGCCAACCTCTGGCTTCATCCCATCCATATCACCATCTGAAGATGGTGCTCAGTTATCAGAGTTGCTCAGTATGGGCAGTAGAGGGGAGGGAGGATGGAAGCAGGTCTGAAGTGCACCTTAGACTGTTCCTCAAAGAATCTTCAATGGGATAGCTCCAGTTGCCTGAAGGAAGATCACCCTGATGACACACCCGTTATTAACTTTCCTTCCCTTTCCCAATCTTTCTATTCTTGTTCAGTTTCCAGAGACAAGGCATTCAAATTAATTACTTATACTCAAACCATGTCTTGGGACCTACTGTGGGGGGGGCAAACCCAGAGGAAGATTTAATGTAATGACACCCTCATAATACTTCCTCAGCATCACAAACTGTTTGCTGTCCTTTTTTTTTTTTTTTTTTTTTTTTTTTGGTTTTTCGAGGCAGGGTTTCTCTGTGGCTTTTAGAGGCTGTCCTGGAACTAGCTCTTGTAGACCAGCATGGTCTCGAACTCACAGAGATCCGCCTGCCTCTGCCTCCCGAGTGCTGGGATTAAAGGCGTGCGTGCCACCAAAGCCGGGTTTCATTTTCTAGTAACATAGTATATTTCCTTCGTAGAAGCAAATGTAATCTAGGATTATACTCCTGTAACTTTAGTGTGACTCCATCCCAAAAACTTGATGTGTGCCCAGTGACAATCTCTCTTTCTGTTTTGTTCACACGTCCACAACACATAAGAACTCACTATAAGTGCTGCTTGTATTTCTTTCATTCCTGCCATTGTGTGAGATAGCAAATAAATGAATGGAAGATGGGATACACATGGGGAGGAGGAGAGAAAATGGATATTAGAATTTTAAAACTTGATATGCAATCTATATTTTGGTTTGAGGTTTGAAAAGCCATATTTCAAATAAATGAAATACAACTTTCCACCTAAACCAATTGGAACATGCCAAACACACTAAGAGGAAGGCCTGTCAGATTCTTTGATTCATTTATGTATCTCTCACACAATTTGTGTTTTGCTTTCAAAGTACTCTGCAGTTGTTGATTATATGAAAAACATTTTATGGAGATTGTTTTTGTGTCAAGGATCTTGGAGTTTGGAAAATATTGGGTTGTTCCAGTGCCTCCTTTATTCTACACCTATTCATCTTTCTGTTAACATTCATCTTGTTGATTAAGTTTTGGTCACATTTAAACTTAACAAAGGAGACAAAAGCCCTCCTTTACACTCATATTTACATGGAACCCAGTGACTTGTCCAAGGCTAGATAGGCTTAATTGTAGAGTTCCAGAGCCCAGTGTCAAACTATGTCTTTAGTTGTCAGGGCATTTTACTGTAGGCCACATCAACTTTTCTTCTTGGCTGGCCGACAGATCTGAGAAGGACATTCCCATGAATCTAACTAGGCTCCATCACAA